TCGAGGCTTTGCTCGGCCTCCGACGGGGGCCGGCCCTTTTGAAGGCGCCTTCTTCGGCAGCAGGACCGGGCAGCCCACCCCACCATGACCGAGAACTCCACGTCGGCCCCTGCGGCCAAGCCCAAGCGGGCCAAGGCGTCCAAGAAGTCCACGGACCACCCCAAGTACTCGGACATGATCGTGGCCGCCATCCAGGCGGAGAAGAACCGCGCGGGCTCCTCGCGCCAGTCCATCCAGAAGTACATCAAGAGCCACTACAAGGTGGGCGAGAACGCCGACTCGCAGATCAAGTTGTCCATCAAGCGCCTGGTGACCACCGGGGTCCTCAAGCAGACCAAAGGGGTGGGCGCCTCGGGGTCCTTCCGGCTGGCCAAGAGCGACGAGCCCAAGCGGTCGGTGGCCTTCAAGAAGACCAAGAAGGAAGTCAAGAAGGTGGCCGCGCCGAAGAAGGCGGCCAAGCCCAAGAAGGCAGCCGCCAAAGCCCCCAGCAAGAAGCCCAAAGCCACCCCGGTCAAGAAGGCCAAGAAGAAGGCGGCTGCCACGCCCAAGAAAACCAAAAAGCCCAAGACTGTCAAAGCCAAGCCGGTCAAGGCATCCAAGCCCAAGAAGGCCAAGCCGGTGAAGCCCAAAGCCAAGTCCAGTGCCAAGAGGGCCGGCAAGAAGAAGTGACGGGGGGCCTTTCTCCTGGACACTCCTGCCTGTCTCCTGTTTCCTGTAAATACTTTTCCTCCCTCCTACGCCTCACCTGCGGCCCCTGGCCCCTTTCTATTCTGACTTGATGCGAGACAGAATTTGGATTCCTCAGAAATTAGGGACTAGTTCATTCTTCCTTAACCAGTCGTACAAGGACAGCAAAAAAAAAAAACAACTCATCTCCGTAATGATGAGAATGTACTTCTATTTTGTTCTGTTAATTTGTTATTATTAATCTGCTTAGGGTTTGGGGGTGGGTTCGTGTGTTTTGTTCAGGCGGGTGGTTGGTTCGCTGTGAAGGTGAATGGAGGATGAGGGGGAGCGGGGAAGGCCGCTGGTTTGGGCTGGTTGAGAGGGAGCCCAGGGGTTGTAAGATTTGTAGGAATATCTTTGAGACAAGTGGGTTTTCTTTAAGTTGAGCGGCCCCTGTGAGTTTCGGGACCTTGTTGGGGAGGCGAGGGGTGGCAGCAGTTGGACGCCAATTAGGTGGAATAAGCCCTCTGGGGACTCCACCTCCCAGTGGGGAGCAGCGGGGGTCCAAGTCCAGTTTCCTGCTCACTTCTGAGTCTGCCCCTGTGGCTCCCATTGTCCTAGGGAAGGAGGGGGTGACAGCTGGTCTGAGAAGCTATGGCTTCTCAGCTGGAAACTAGCCATGGGGGGGGGGGGGGGGTTCTTTGTGGCTTTGGAAAGTCTCCCGTTGAGGGAGTGGAAACTTTGGGGGAAGGGTGGGGAGTCAGTCAGCCAAGTGCCTCAGTGTGCCCCGTTGAAACTTGGGTTTTTCCACACAATTGGATTGTATTCCCCGGTGTTTTGGTTCCTCCTGTACAAGAGGTGGCTTTGGGGGTCTGGTGAGTCCAGCCCTGCCCGCGCCACCTACACACACGTCCCGACCTCTTTATTTCTGCGTCTTTTCTAAGTAGTGGTGGGTGGGGCGGGGCGGGGAGTGGACAGTAAGACATACTGCAGTCGACTTTTGAATTGCTAAGTAGTTTCAGAGCTGGTCTGTGTCTGCGTGTAAAGTGTACATACCTGCTTAGAGCTAGCACTTAGTTTCACACCCGGGAGCTGGGAGAAAAAACCTGTACAGTCCTTCCCATAAAATAGGAAAACGCGCAGTTCGCGTCGTATCCCCCCCACCCCCCTTTTGTAAAAAGTACCCCACAAGTGTTATTTGTGCCGGGGAGAATTTGCTGTCTTTGTAATTTTGAAACTTTAAAATAAAAATCTGAAAAAAGGACAAAACCTGGGCGGTGTTTTTCCTCACTTCTAACACTGGAGGAGGCGGAGCAATTGGGCGGGGGAGTCGCCGGGGAAACCTCTGGGGGCCTTTGCACCTGAGAAAGGAGGGAGGGTCCCAGGAGCTCCCAGAAATGGGAACCTGAGGGCTTGGGGCACCGAGCGTGCCGCGGGCTGCTCCTGCCTTTGGGTCCAGAGCAACCCCTCCCGGAGGTGGGGGTATGGGATGGGGCTGGTGGGCTGGGCCCGCCGCGTGG